TTGCTTAAATAGCTACGAAATAAGGGTGTGGGTGCGTGTGGGTATGAGATACATTTTGGTCGGTGTGAGTGTGTGCTGAATAAAATACCCTCACCCACCCCATGATGGTTCTACAAAGTAATAATATTCGTAATGTTTTTCTTTTTTCAAACTACGCATTTGGTTGCGAAAGAATATGCATACATTCTAAAGGAGCCATTCAAATATTTTAATCAATTCAAGTTAACAGAATAGTTGAGACATTAATGAGCTTTTGAAGAAGAACAAAAACAAAAGAAATATATTTTTTAATTTTTTACAATACATCTGGAGGGTGTGGGTATAGCTTTGTGTACTTCTTCTATATCCAGACTCACACACACTCTTAGTTGTCTGACAGAACAGAAATCAGACCCGAGTTCCCCGCATCAGAAAAACCTCTAGAAATGCTTTTTTCCCAATACTCGATTTCTATTGGTTCCCACCCATCCTCATTCCACACCCAATACATGTTTTTTACGATTTTTTTTAATAAAAGAATAACAAGTATGTAAAAACATAGTTTCTCACTATAGCTTTTTTAAGTAACCAAGTGGAGATCCGTAGTTGTGATCAAGAGTATAAGAATCTCACATTTCTCAAACACCATCGCATCATTAAACTGCAATCAATCATGACGTTACTCCTACCTATTTGTACAAGAAGCACATTTTATCGTCGGCTTTTTTTCTTCTACCTTTCCTTCTCCAAATGCGTAGTTACACCATCAATAGAAAAATATGACACACGTGAAGTAAATATGCATTTCAAGGGAAGAAATAAAAGCAACAACACATCACATATTTTTACAGCTTCTATCGGAGGTAAACTAAATCATGTCAAGCTTGGTTACATTACCGGTAGAGCTTGTCTACCGAATTTTGGATCATCAGAGTGATCTCACTCTGCTGTTTTCTATGTGGAATGTGTGTCAGCGACTCAACCAAATTGTTGACACCTACGATCGATTTCAGGTAACACTTTTTGCTATTATACCCGACTAGTGTTCATCAATCTTCAAGTTTTTTTCACCCTTACGATCGGTAAGCCTGATAAAATAGTAGGTAATTAACTTATTGCGAGATGATTGCAGCAGTATGAAGTATAGAACGTTGATATTGTTTAGTATTATTTTTGTTATTTACATTTATTTATTACTTTTGTTTGGATTAATTAGTTGTAAACTAGTGTGTGAAAATAAATATATGTACCAAACAATTAATTTAGCTTTTAACTTCACAAAATGCTTATGTAATAAGAAAAAATATTGTAAAGATTACGTTATTAAAGGAGCTATTGGCACTTTTTCCTACAGACACTCACCACACTGAATCTCAATCACAACAACATCGGAGCTGAAAGAGCACAGCATATCGGTTACGCACTACTAAATAACACAGTAATATTCATTCACTCTTTACCTATTTCACATAACTATTAGTACTTTTTCATACAGGTACTCACCACACTGGATCTCTCGTATAACAAAGTCGGAGCTGATGGAGCACAATATATCGGGATTGCACTATTAAATAACACAGTAATATTCATTCACTCTTCATCTATTTCACATAGCAATTTATACTTTCTTATACAGGCACTCACCACACTGAAACTCAATCACAACAACATCGGAGTGAAAGGAGCACAGCGTATCGGTTATGCATTATGGAGTAACACAGTATGCCTCATTTACTCTTTACCTATTTCACATAACTATTTGTACTTTCTCATACAGACACTCAACACACTGGATCTCTCGTACAACGAAATCGGAGCTGAAGGAGCACAACATCTCGAGAATGTATTACGATATAACACAGTGACATTCATTCACTCTTCACCTATTTCACATAACTATTTGTACTTTCTCATACAGACACTCACCACAGTGAATCTCGAAAACAACGAAATCGGAGATAAAGGAGCACAATATCTCAGTGATGCACTACAAAATAACACAGTAATATTCATTTACTCTTCATCTATTTTGCATAACTATTTGTATCTTCTCATACAGACACTCACCACATTGTATCTCATGGACAACAAAATCGAAGATAAAGGAGCACAACATCTCAGTGATGCATTAAGATATAACACAGTAATATTCATTCACTGTTTACCTATTTAACTTAACTATTTGTATCTTCTGATACAGACACTCACCACACTGAATCTCGAGAAGAACAAAATCGGACCTGATGGAGCACAACACCTCAGTAATGCACTACGAAAAAACAAAGTATCACTCAATCATTCTTTACCTATTTTATATAATTATGTGTACTTTCTCATATAGACACTCACCACACTGAATATCTCGTTGAACAAAATCGGAGATAAAGGAGCACAACATCTCGGTCATGCACGACGAAAAAATAGGGTGGTATACTGAGGTTGTGTTGGTATGAATCAATCACGAACATATTAGTCTATCTTGTAGCAAATGGACAAGTTCAATCTTGTAGTGTGTACTATTGCTTTTCAGTAATTTAGTTTTATGCAGAATATTGATTTTTTTGTTTTTAAGATGTGCTTGTAAAATAATTAATTAAATACAGAAATCAGTTCACCGACGCGTTTTGTCTTATTTATTTAAATGTAAATCCCTATGAAGGGTGGGTGTGGATACTGGATTCACGTACCATCCCCACCCACACCCATACATAGAAAACGGTTTTCTTTTTACTACTTCTTTCATCTCCGATTCACTGACGACTATCTATTTGCCGTTGTTCAAGAAATACCAAATATTATCAATCCTTGGCAAGTCAGCTTGTGAACATAACATATCAAAAATACTTCTAAATACGTAGTTTCTCTTTAATATAACTGGAATGATTATTGCACAAAAAGACTGTAATGATGTTGATCATGCCAAGTCGTGCAAAATAAAAGCGCTTTTCCATATGTGTGTCTATTAATTGGAAGCGTTCACACTCGACTCCTCTTCTCTGTATTACGCTAGCCATGCTCAACTAATTCAACTTCTTCAAGTTTAAATTAGTCGTTTTCAAATATCTAAGTTACCGTTTGCCATGTCATATGCCGAGATAATTTTTTTCTCTTCTCATAAATAATTGTGCTCTGTCAGAATTCATATATCTATTCTCGATCTTGCCTGACAGATATTCTACGCTATGTTGAGCAACGCTAGTATTCTTCTTATTATTCATGTCATTATTTTCGTATTGATTTTCATCTTGGCCCTTATTTATTCCATTCCGATCTTTCTTATTCATCGTTTTCATCATATCAACAACGTGTTCACACTGAACATTTGTATCTCCATGATATTTTGTGCTATCTTCTGGATCCCCTATAAGACAACACGACTCATTGATCCTCAACTTGTATTGTTCCACGACATCTGTATCCTTATAGACTATACTCATATGGCCTGTACTATTCAAGTACCACTTTCTTTTATCGTCGTTTCTATTCACCGATTTTATTCGATTGTGTATCACACAAAACTCTTTTTTAAATCTAAGCAGTGGGTGGCAATTTGTATTGGAAGTCAATGGATATTCGGACTTCTCATATCATTCCCAATGATTGCACCAAAGGGATCGGTAAGAATTGTTACTATTTTCACCGTATGTTAGAAATGGCGTTCGAGCTGAAAATGAGGAATGCTTACCATAGATATAATCACTAGTTAAAAATATAGAAAGATTTCTCTGCAGAAGATTTCTTTTCTATGATTCTGTTGACAATATACCGAATTTATCGTAGTCTATTCGAATGAATTTTGTTGAAAAAAGGTAAATCTTCTCTGCTTATATGTTTTATGATTAGAACTGTACTGATCCTCGATGGAATCTAATTTACAAGCTGTTATTCATCGTCTTAATTCCTTCAGTGGTTTGTTTCATTATCAATCTTCTCATATTTCTTCATGTACGTTCTTCATCTCGTCGGATTCAACCACAATCTCGACAGATCACAGAAATCAATGTGAATATCAGTCAAAATCAAGTACTCAGTCGACGCGACAAACATCTACTGCGGCATACGATCTTAATGTTTTCTATATTTATCGGAGGATGGCTTCCCATATATACAATTTTGTCAATTGCCAATCCGATCTACATTGACCCACTCCTGCAGCAATCTCTTGCAGCTTTATCTGAAGCGTGTATACTGTTTGATGTTATAAATCTGTTTGCGTACAATCATGAAGTGAGACGGTATTTGCAAAGGAAGATTTTGCGATATCATTAGGGTGATCTAATGCATTATTCTGATTTTAATCATTATGCGACTCAGTCTCTTAGTTCTCTATATTGTAAAGCTGTTATTTTTAAGTGTTCGATATCGTGATCTATGTATTTTTCGTACGTGTTAACCTTGAGGATGTGGGTCTTTCTTCTTGTATCCGACCCACACCCTAAATACTGATTTATAGTATATCATATAATCTCTTTATTTTTTCTTATATATTAAAAGTTGTAAAATATTGAGAGATAAGATGTGATCAGATATGAATAATGTTCGTTTAGATCAAATTAAATATTTAACATCCATCACTATCGTTGTTCTAGTTAATGGTTGTTACGAAAAGCTATAGTAATCACGAAATAACACACTTCTAGTAATAATGAACATTAATGTTCCGGTTCACAATCATATAATTTTAAACTACGTAATTATCGTTACTATTTTTCAGGCTTTGAATGATATTAATTATTTTCAATGATTTTCATGCAAGTTGATTAATTGATAAGTAAAAGAATAAAGAAAGGAATTATTTAGTTTTTTCCCTTTTTTTTAAAATATAATTCAAAAACAAAAAAAAAACTTTAATATGAATATGGATTAAAAATAAGAAACATACTACTTCTCTTTGTTTTTTTACCCCACACACTCAACGTTTTTAAACAAAAGAGAAGTAAATAGTTCAATGAAATTTATATGACGAGAACAAAAAACATTGTCATCGTCATGTATCTGTCCTAGTTTAAATCATAAAACAATCAATGAAAGATTGGTGAATAATTTTCATAATGATGTTGATGTGGAAAAAATGAATATTGTTGTTTGGCCTAAAAGAGATGTGATTAAAATAAAATATTTTCAAAGAAAAGGGATTTTCTTAAACGTACTTGAGATGCGCATGTCTTATTACTTAAAATATGATTAAGAGTTTCATTAGAATATAATGAATTACCATATCGTCGAACATATCGATCAGGACTAACGCGCTTAACGTCTTTTCGTTGTTTAATGTCTCTATCAAAAATAACATTGACATCATCATATTCAACGATAATTTTTTTTGATCTTTCACTGGCATGACGTTTTTCTCGTACAGGTGGTGGTGATAGACATTCATAAATTATTTTACGTTTTTGTTCTGGTGGATATGGTAACCATTTTTCAACTAAAATTGGTGCTGGTTTTTGTATAACAGCTGCCATATTTGATCGAAGACGTTCAACAATAACAGTTGGTGGTGATGAAGATGGCGTTTGTATATGACGATAAACAATAGTTGGTTTAGATGGATAATCATGTTTTGGAGGTGGTGGTGGACGTTCACGAAGTACAATAGGTGATGGTGTTTTAGATAAATGAATTTGACCAGTATCTTCTAATTTTTGATGTATTGTTATTGATTTATTAGATGGATGTGGTCTATGACGAACTTCTCGAATAATAATTGGAGCTGGTGCAGGTGGTGTTGGTGGACGAAGTAATTGAATATCAACTTGTTGTTTTAATAAAAGATCTTTACTTTTTTTTCTTATTATAACTGGTCGAGGTGGAATAGTTGCCGTAGGTTCTTGAGAAAAATCCATTGAAGCAGCCATAGTAGAAACATGTTCAAGATCTTTTAAATAATGTAAATTAATATCACCAATATTAGTTGTTGCTTCATAACTACTAAATACATCAGATGATGGTTTATTTAATTCGTTCATTGTATCTGATGAAAATCCCCATTCAATTTTTGATCCACCTGTTGTTGATGTAGCTTCTTCGATTTGTTTATCGTCGTAACTTTTATCATAATGATGATGATGATTATTATTATTATTATTATTAATATTATTATTACGATTATCTTTGTTTGTTGGTGTAGAAAAATAGAATTGCGGATGAGATTCTGATGCGACAAATTTCGTAAAATTAGATTTTTCTACATGTTCATCACGTTGTATAACAGTTGTTGGTTTGCTACTACTTGTTATAGAACATGTAATAGATAGATCATCACAACTTTTATGTCGTGACATTGGAGTATTATTTTCCATAATCGATGTTAACAATGTTGTTGACGATTGTGTTCTTCGTCTTGGTACTGATTGCATTGTTGAAATCGATGTTGTTGCTGTCATTGGTTGAGTTTTAGAATTTTGAATTGAATAAACAGTACTATCTAAATCAAAACTATCTGCATAAGCAACTAATGATTGAAGTAATTCATCATCGGGTACAAATTGTTCGTGTGTTGTTATATCTGTTTCTATTGTCGTTTGATGTTCAATAGCTGCCTCATAAAATGAAGGTTGTTGTTGTTGTTTAGATGATTGATTATAATTATCTGGATACTGTTCATAATTAATAAAAGGTGGTTGAGTATGAATAAGTATTGATAAATCAGTAAGCGAACTACCAGCACCATTATTTTGATTTCTATTTGAGGATGTTGCAACTTGTTGCATAAACATCGGATCAAAACTAAATTGGACATTATTACATAGTGAGATAATCGATGGTAATGATGTTGACCACTTATTCATTTTGAATGCGCGCCTCTTATATGTTTGTATGCACACCTTTGAATAAACGACTTCAATCAATTGAACATTGTCTTCATTTCTTACCTTTATGTATATGTATATATTGCGGCATGGCACATTTGTCGTGTCGTTTATCGTTGGTGCGTGACGCTATTGAACATTTACACGCATATATACATATTCACATTGTACAGAACAACCGACAACCTTATCAGATCAAACAAATGTAATTATTAAAATGCTTAAAAAAACAGATAATTACACAGACCTACAAAGACAAGGATTTTTACTCCCTTTCTTTTTTCTTCCTCTTCTCTCAATTGAACAAAAAACTCAATTTATGTACGTGACATTCAAATAAGTTTTTTTTTTTTATTGAGAATGAACTATTGTAAAAGAATATTTCATTTAATATTAATTGAAAATTAAAATTATTTATTTCTTCATTTTTTCAATTTTTTTTTCTTCATCATTCAACTCACAATAATTATACACAATACAATACAATTAAAAAAGAAAAAACATAATAAAAATTTTATTCATCATCTTCTATAGAAAATCCATAATAATTATAAATCGATATTGATTTTTTTCTCTTATATAAATCATATAATATATGATCTTCAATTTGATTACATTGTTCAAAATTAAGATATTCAATAGTATGAAAATATTTTTCAGGTACATCCTTCAATATAAAACCAAAGATTTGATGGCAACCTAATAATGATAAACGACGAAGATAACGACATTGCTTGACAATTACATTAAAACTATCATCAGTAAGATTATATGCCCATGAACAAGTCAAATCAATTAAATGAGGACACCTATAAAAAATACATTTTCCAAATAATAAGAAAAAAAAGAAAAAAACTTGTCTACAAAATCGAATATACTTACATAGTAATAATTGCTTGAATACAATTATCATCAATTGAATGACATTCGTCTAATTTGAGTACGATCAAATGTTCAAAAATATGCTTTCTATTAAAAAGTAATTGGAATGATTCAAGTGGAATAATAGTTAATTTTGATAAACATAATTCTTTAAGATTACAAAAATTCTATATTAAATAAATTCAAATAAAATATTGAAATAAATTATAGAAATAATTCTACTTGAAATATAGAAAAATTTGAACCAGTCATATTTGTACAAACTTCAATTGTAATTGATCTAATTTTTCGACAATAATTTATATATTCTAATGCTTTATCTGATAATTGTGTACCATCAATTCTAAGAATTTCTAAATGTTTATTGTGTTTATCACACAAAATTTTTATTGTCCTATATTAAGAAGATATAACTACTTGAGTAAAAGAAAAAAAAAAGAAACTTACTCATCATCAAATGCTTCAATATAAAGTAAATTTAATTCAACAATTGTATTTAAATTACTAACAAGTTCGAATATACCAAAACTAGTTATTCCCAATTGATAGGATGCAGTAATATTTTTAAGTTGAATTTTATTATCAGCTAGTAATGCAAGAACTAAATCAAATTTTTCATAGGTTTTATTTTGTTGAGAATCAAATATAATTGTTTGTAAACAATGAGGAAAATATTCAATAATAAGACAAATTAATATTGGAGATATAAGAACATTATGAAAACGTATTGTATAAAGATCAGAAGTTGTTCTAGCTATTCTTTCAAACCATATAGCCCATGTAAGAATACTTATATCATTTTCCCAATCAATAAATTTTATAGATCGAAGATACGATAAATAAGAAAGTAAATGAGTAATGTCAAAGACAGAGATTATTTTCGAAAGATCAAGATGAGAATAAACACGAGTTAAAATAAAATTTGCAAAATACTGACAAGTAGGTGCAAGATTTGTTAGAAGTTCGAAAGGAGAAATAAATGAACATATATGAAGAAGAAGTTCGGGTGGAAGATTAAGAAGATTATTATTTGTATCACATGTTAAAGAAGAATTTGTATCGACATAATTCTAAATTAATAGAAATAAAATAGTGATACTATAAATAGTTAATAGGAATTGATAAGACAACTAACTTATGTGTAAAAACAAAATTCATAGAACTTATCAAATACAGTAATTACTAAGAATTTCGATCTCTTCTTTGTATTAGAACCTTTTCATTCACAATCACTCGAAGGACGTAGGAAAAAGTCTTGAAAAAAACTTAGTGTGTCAAACGGAAATTATTTTTGCACATCATTGTACACACGAATTCATCTCATCTCTGATATATCTTGAAATATTGAAACTATGTCTTACATGTTCTTGTTCATTGAATTGAGTATCATCTTCATTGATCGTATGTAAACTTAATTGATTTAATATATCTAAATTTAAATATTGTTCTTCTTCAAGTTGTTCGATATCTTTTAATGTCCAACCATTTTTACATAGAGGATAATTTAAAAACTCTCGACAATCAGCAGTGGAATTTTGTTCTTGTTGAAGATTTTCAATTAATACTGATATCTGTTCAATGGACTTTTCAAGTTCTTCAATATCTGAGAGATATGGTCCATTAAATCGATCTGACTCGTCTAAATTATCATCACCAACAGGTGATGCATTTCGATAAGTATGGCAGAGATTCGAAAGAGTTTCAAGTCGATGTTTAACATTATTAAAACTTAATAGAAGACGATCGACGAATAGAGATGACATCTGAAAATAAATATAAAAAAAAAGATACAAGTCATTTCTTTTCTAAATATTTTATTTATTCTTTTTTCTATAATTTTGTTGTATCAACTTTTTCAACAGTCTGAGAATCACGTTTACCAATCATAGGTGCAACCAAATAATCTTCATAAGTTGTTGAAGCATTTTTCAATACTTGTTTTGTTTGAAGTGTTTTTTCATTTGATACTATATCTTCTTGTCTTAAAGGACATAATTCTGTTTGAACAAGAGTATATAATGGTTCAAGATGATCAACATTTGCTTGATGAATTATATCTGATGAATGAATAGTTTGTTCAACTTTCTTTATTGTTTGTTCATTTTGAAATGAAATTAATGAAAGATGTTCTAGTTTTTTTTGCATATTAGGATCAATTTTAATTTGTGTTAAAACAGAAAATGAACGACGAGATAAAAGAAATAAAGACATCTGCAAACAAATATTGATTAACGTTTATTTCTTTTTATTCTTTTTCATTTTAATCATATGATAAAAATAATTTTCGAAAAAAAAGAAGTTTATTTTTATTAGATTAGTATTTTTTTTCGTTGCTGTGAAGCACAGAAAAAAAGAATGATGAACGGTTGAAAATAATGGGATAACAGCGTGATTAGTTTAAATAAGCACGAAAGACAAGACACACACACACACAACGTAAACTAATGTGATATATAATAAGAATAAAAAAAGAAAACAACAGTAATGATAACGATATAGGATAAATTATTTTCTTCTAAATTAGTTTTCACTCTCGATTAGTACCGCCATATTCACGATTTTGTCCACGACGATCACCTCCAAAACGATTACCACCACCACTACCACCACCACGGCGATTATCAGTACTTCGATCAGTATATGATGAATCGCCAGCAGCAGGACGAGGGCGTTCACTTTCATTTTCGTCACTGTCATTGGCACGCCAACTATTGATACGTGTTTTTTCGCGGTTACGCCAACTATTATTTTCATCCGATCGACCCCAATTATCCGATGAAGGTGGACCACCACGACCGCTCTCTCGTGGTGGTTCTTCTCGTTGTTCTGTAGGCACACGTGTCTTTGATCGCCAAGAATCTGTAGTTGAATGTGATTCATCAGAACGTTGTTGTGATGGACGATCATTACCAGGTCGTGGACTAGAATCAATAAGAAACAAAGAGAAAAAAATTATTATATTGAATAAGTTGTTATATAATTTACGGATTAGGACGTTGTTTCTTTTCAACTGTTCGCCAGTTACTAGCTGTTTCAGAAGTTTTGTCTGTCCATTTTTCTGATGTTGATGATGATGATGGTTGAGTTTGTTGTGAAGGATGGCCTCGTCGATCATCGCGTCTATCGTCTCTTCGGTCATCTCGTCTGTCATCGCGTCTATCATCTCTTCGATCGTCACGTCTGTCATCACGACGATCATCATGCTGTTGTGGATCAGGTCTTGGTCTTGGTCGCCATGCTTCATTAGATGGACCTTTATTGCTTGCTGAATCATCAGTACGTCGTTCACCACTATCTCGTGGACTAGAATTATAAAAAAAAGAATATCTTTGTAGATATTTAAAGTGTAACGGTATAAATGCAATTTACCGTTGCTCGTCGTTTCGTGGACGCCAATTATCAGTTGCATTAGTTTGTGATGGTTGATTGTCATCACCTTCACGTGTCTTTCGACGCCATGTTTGACTATAAAATAATAAAAAAGTAATTACGATTAAATATTCAATATACAAACCTATCAGGTTTATCTCTATCTTGTTGATAACCACCGCGACCCCCACCAGCAGGAGGATCTCGTCGAACATTTCCACTGGAAGTCGGATGTGCACTCTCTCTTTCTGCTTGTAATCTTCTTTCAATTGCTTCTTCACGTTCACGTTGTATTCTTGTTTGTTCAGCTAATTTCTTGTTTCTTTCTTCTTCAGCAGCACGTACAACTGCTAAACGTTCATTTTCTTTACGTTTTAAGTCAGCTTGAATTTTTTGTTGTTTTGCTTCTTGCTTTCTTTGTTTTTTTAATCTCTTATTTTCACGAAATTCTTGTTTTCTATTTTCAATATTTTCTATACGTAATTGTTCTAATCGTTGTTGACGTGCAATACTTAAACGTTGCTCAAATTCTCGCATTCGGTCAACAAAATCATCATGTCGTTGTCCGCGAATAGAATGAAGAAAAGCATTTTTATCATCTTCAATTCGTGTAAGTCGATCACGTCTTTCAATTGCACGTTCACGTTCAGCTTTTTGAACTTCACGTCTACGCTGTAGTTCTTCTTCAGTTTGTTTGTGTAGTAATGGTACTTCAGTTTCATGTAGTGCTCGAATAAGATAATCAACTTTTTTATATTGAACTTTTAATTTTTCTTTTTGTTCTCGACTATGATTAATAACTTCTGTAACATGTAATGAATTAAGTGAATTTGGTTCATAATTATATAAAGCTTCTTCGCCAAGAACATCAATTATTTTTCGACCTATATCAGATTCACGTAATTTATCAATAGCCACTTTCATAGCAAAACGTTGTTCTTCTTTAACTTTTTCAATTTGTGCTTCATGAACACGACGTTTTTGATCGGTTTCACGTCGAATTTTATCTTCTTCATCACGTTCAGCTTGTTTTGTTTTCGTAACAATTTCAGCCTGTCTTGCTTTATCTTTATGTTCTTTTTCTTTATCTTCTTTATAACGTTCAATAAATTCACGTCGTTTTAATATATCTTTACGTTGAATTGGTTCATCACGATAATATGTTTGTGCTATTTCACGTCTTAATTTATCATTACGTTCTTTATTAGATTTTTCACTAATTATTTCCATACATGAATATAATGCACGTGATATAGATGTAAGTTGATTACGAATTTGTTCATTAGGCATTTTTTGTACAATATTTGCTTTTGAACCAGCATCACTACTAAGTGATTGTCCAGATGAAACATTCAAATCTGTGCCAAATGTTAATGCCTGTAATTTATGTTCAATATGTACTTGAACATCATTATTTCTTGCTGCATTAACAATAATTTTTTCTAAACGATGTTTATCAATAGGTGGTGCAAGACTAATAAAACGTTTTAATTCAATTGTTTGATATACTTGTGATACTTGTTGAAGTAAACGTACAACAGTTACATCTCGTAATGCTGGCATATATTGAGAATATTCTGGTTGAGCTAATTTTTCAACAAATTTAATACCTTCTTCCATTTTTGATGATAAACGTAATGGATGAAATTCAACTTCTAACCATTCATACATATCTTTCAATTCTGGATGAACAAAATTTAAAACACCTTGTTTTATCATATCACGTATTAAGGTTGCACGTGTTGGAACTTGTTGTAATGATAATAAACTTGTTAAACGTTTTTGTTTTTCATTAATATTATCTTCAGTATCTAAATGTTCATCAATTTGTGTACGTGGTGCTGGTAATGGAATTGAAAGAATAGCTAATAAAGCTTTTGTTGATAAACGAGTTAATTCAGCATGTGTTATATTCTTTTTTTGTTCTTTATGTAAAACATATAATTTAAGAACTGTTGTTGCATGAAAAACATAATTTTCTGCTTTCCAAAAAACTAATGCGACTTTATTATAATATGTAGCTAATTGTTGTGGTCTTGGTGTTTTCTTTGATATTGTTGTAAGTTGATGAATATCTTCAACGGCTTTAAATGCTTCCTATAATCATAATTGAATATTTTTAGAGAGTAATATAGATTTGAAATAAAATAAAAACACGAGCTTGCTTGTGAGATAGCAAGACGATTTATTTAATCATCTAACTTTTATCATAGATATTAATTGAAATAGGATCAGCATTCAAAATAACTCGATACGATTGCTATAAATACAATATGTTTATCATATTGTAATGAATGAGAATCTCTTAGTTATAATAATAACAACATCTGTTGATCTATCTTTGATATGTAATATAATACAAACAATTGACTACATATTCAATCGTGTTTAAATTAAAGCTATATGTATCATGTGAATCGTATTAAACTAAAAAGACTTTGTGTCGTCAACTTCTTACTATAATACGTGTGAAAAAGACTACAGCAATCTACTATTAGATCAGTTGTATTTTATATACTAATTATATACCTGCCATAATTCCATAGCAATAGCTGTATCAAGTTGTACTAAACGTGTTTCTAAATGAAGTGCTTGTGTTTCAGGTAATTGAAAATTAACGCTATACATTTGTTGTGAATATTTTTGTGATTGTGAAAAATGTGTTCGAATCGTATCACATAATTTTCGGAATTCAGGTCGTCGATTATATTGTTGACAAAAACGAAAACCCATTTGTGCAACATCTTGATAAATTTTTTCAACACGATTATTATTTTTTAATAGATCTAAACATTGTTTATATGATTCCCATACAAATTTTAACCATGGTGCAAGCATATCACGATCTGTACGATCTTGTTGAGATTCACCACTGACAGCACTTAATAATAGACTAAAAAATAAAGATATAAAAAACAATAAACATATTTATTGTACATATATAAATTTATTTACCTTTCAGGTGTTTGAAGAACTTCTAAATCATCAATATCAACAGTAGCATTTGTTGCTTCTTTACGTGCATCTAAACATCGTTGTTCACCTTGTTTCAAAAATTTCATGATAACATCTTCAAGTGATTTAACTGAAACCTAATAAAAATAAAAAACATAGAATTCTTGTCTTATTATTGATATAGAATTTTTCAACATACTGCTTGTGCTATTGTTTTATATTGATGAAGACCATCTTTTGCAATTTGACTTTTTTTTAATTCGACACATAATTCTAAGAGTTTTTCCATTAATGGTTCGTGTGTTTTTGTCCATGTTCGATGACGACGTGATTTAACAACTTCAAGAAGTGTTTCTAAAGCACGTTGTTTTTTACCAACTTCAATTAGTTCTAAATAAAACAGAAAAATTTTCACTTTTTAATTATAAATATTTCAAGATAATAAAAATATGTACCATCGGCTCGTCTGAGAGCACTCTCAGGTTTCATAAAAACCATGTTTTGTTCGTTTTAATATAATTCAAATAATATACTTTTTTTCTATCTAAAATATATATTAAAGATGATTCATTGTTTCCATAAGAGAAAAGAATAATTTTCGATTAGGAATTAAATGTGAATTAAGCTATATAATAAACAAAAAAAGAAATATAAAATAATATAATATTTGATTGAATAAAAAAGTAAAATTTATCTCACTCGAATTGTATTTAATAGATCGAAAGATGAAAATGATGATGATGATGAATTATTTTCATGTGCCATTTGTTCGAGAATATTTTTTATAAAGTCTAGAGTTGTTTCGACTATTTTGTCAACCGCAGCGATGTCAATATCTGATGTTGTCGATTTTCGAGCAGCAAGAATAATTATAGTACGTAGATGCGAGATCAAATTGGTTTGATCACTATCATCAACTTCGTTACTCATTGAATTACTTAATTGACTAGAAAATTACAGTCTTCTCTTCTTTCATTTTATGAGTACAGAAAGCCATTTTAGAAAGTTACTATCAAGTCTCTACTGATTAATTTCTAAAACAGATTTTTTTTGTTATTCTAAGAAAAAATAAAGAATTATTTTATCAGTACAAACTGAACATTTTTCTAAGCGAACTATATACTTATGTTTTAGTAAAAAATAAGTTTTATTTCAATATCATAACTATACACTAATGACATCTGTTATGTTGTATGTGGCGAAATGAATAACTTCGATTGATTGTATAGTTAGTCACACAGGAAAAAAAACAGTTTGTTTTTGAGAAGACAAATAATTTCGAAATAATTTAAAGTTAGTCAAATATGTCATTTCGTAATAATTTTATACTACCGTAATATGAATCATAGCGTTTTTCAACACATTTCGAATTACGTTAAGCTTAATATGATTTCGATCAAACTTGTTACACTCTTTACAAAAATTTTAATAATCTTCAAGAGTTTGATGTTTAAGCTACTTTAGATTTTTAATTCCAGTATTGAGCAAAAGCTTATACTGCTTCTCTTTAGCAAGTCTGAGCTTTTGTATTAGGTAGTGACATGAAATAATGCAATAATAACAGTCGAGTAAACTCTATTTCAATAGTTTGTGATGAAAGAACTACTGACTGATCGATATGGCAATCTGTAACTCATTGGCCAATTATTTAAGACAAATTTGATAGAAAAGCTGTTTTGTAAACTAATCTTCTTATGTATTGCTTTCATTTCTTGAATAATTTATTTCGGAACTTCAGACATTGTGATACATTCTGTTCGTATCTATTCATAGTATATTGAAAGAGAATACAATAATTTTATAAATATTAACCTTTCAAGTTGTGTGGATCACTTAAAACTCATTTAATCAACTGAAAGATCAGTCGTATAGTATACAACAGTTAACTATTACAGATAAAAAATTCTCTACAATATTTGAATAGACTGATTGATTTTCTTCGTTTCTAATCTGTCTGATGCATCGATATAGTATATTATTAAAGATTATTCTATTTATAATATAATTTATTTCATAATGATTTGAAAAAAATATTACATTCAACGATCCTCAGTGATATCTGCCAATGATGTTGTTGTTGTTGATGGAACACTTAAAAAAGCAGTATTTGTGTAAGCACCCCGTTCAAGTGATTCTAAGTCATTTTGATGAAGAAAAACTTTAGCTCGAACTACTCGAACATAGAAACCAACTGCAAAAATAATAAATGGTACACCAACTAAAACAAGTGTAACAATCGCAGCAATCGCAGCTGTTTGTGAAAAACCAGAGACTTTTATCCAAATGATAAGACCAAGTTCAAGAATTATTAAAAATAAACCAAGACCAGTTGAAAGTAACCATGCTATTTCAATATATATACCAATTTCTGATAGTGGTTCCTCATTTTTATGCTTTATCCAAGTATTCTTTTGATTCAGGACATTTTTTATTTCAGGTAAAATACATATTGACATAAGTAAAGCCAATAAATGAACACTAACTAATAAACATGATAGAATAGCATAAGCTGTCAAAACTCCGTCTCGAGAAGGTATGTCTGGATATGAATCAATTGAAAATTCGACAAGAGCTACCTAATTAAATCGTTTAGATTAAAGATAAAGAAAATAAATACGAATTATAAAACTTACAATAGCAAATCCACTAAGAACTGCTGATGTTTCACTAGCACTTTCTAGTTTTGATTTACGATAGAGAAGAGTTTGTATTCGTTGATCAATTTTACGTGATTTTTTTCCTAAACAAATTGATATATTTCATTTGACATTTGTTAATTTTTTCAAGACTACAGATTAATAAATAGGACAGAGTGACCTATTTTACTAAGTATGGCATTATCAACGAACATATATTAAAACAAAAAAAAAGGAAGTAATCAATTTTTGTCATTTGAGAAATACAAGATACTTTCAAAGTTATTTAAGTACATTTTTGAGTGATGTAACCTATGGAACAAAACAGTACTTATAAGATTTATAATCAGTTGATTTCATTTTCTAATTATCTTTATTTTGTATTGATTTATAAATCTCGCCCATATATACTTTTCATTTATATGTATGATAATAAAAACATACCTTCAGCATTTCTAAGGACGTCATCACTTTGTCGTCTTAGTGAATGTCTAGTGAACCACATAAATAATCATATGATATGTACTTACATTCATGTTTATTGCATTAATTTAACAGATGGCGTATTTCACATGTTGCTCTAGTAGAATGTGAAAAGCTTTTTTTATATTTATAAATATATTACCCAGAAACAATATTTTGAAATGTGTTCCTTTCTCATCACTGATAGTTAATAAATAATTTTTGCTTTTCTTTCATTACCATATGAAATGAATAAATGAATTAATTTAAAGAAGTTTTCATTGAGTCTAAGGTAAAACATTTTTTGATCAGTTATACATTGTAAATATTGACATGAGTCATTTATGTGAACACATAAAATGATGTTGATCATTTATAATAAATGAACCTTATTATAAATAAAATATACTACTGAATGTTTTCATTATTTATAATGAGTTATTGTGTCTAATATTGGTTGTTTATCTCAATTCATTTCCCCTCAGAAAAAAATATAATTCTCTACATACTATCAAAAAAAAAGTAAAGATGAAAAAATTTACAGAAAACATTTTCTCCAATAGACAAAACACAAAAACAATAAGCATAGACTAGATGATCATTAATAGATTGATCTCGCATAAAATCAAAAAAAAAGAAAAAGAAAATTCGTCGTTAGCTGAATTTACGTAGAAATAACAACGAAAGACTAGAATTAAATTAAAAAATAGAAAGAGATTGTTTTTATTGCGTTATGTATTCTTGATTAATTCTCATCATCGCTGGGTGTCAATAATGAAGATATTTGTTTGGATATTTCTGTAAATTCTTCTTGAGTAACACCTCGTTTACGTGGTGATTCAGGTGGAGGATTACTTGGCATTTGTTTAACTGCACATTTAAATGAGATTGGTGGTGGACTATCTATTGGTCGATGACGTTGAGCATTTGATAATGTTAATGATGGGACTGTTTCATCAACAGCCATAGTTGGTGGTTGTGTAGCCATTTGACTAATAATTGTTTTGGCAACAAGTGTTGCACGTCGTTGACGAAGTCGATCTAAATTCGGTGGTGCTAAAGATGATGATGGTAGAACATCATCATCTTCACAACTAGAACTGACCTCGCCAGATAATGATGGCGTACTTGTAATGGTACAATGTTTTCTTACTGGTGCTACTGAACCTGTTGATGATGGATTTGAACCAGCACAACGACCACAAGATCGAATTATTGTATTAACTTGAACACTTTTATCAGTATTTGTATCACCTTCAAATTTTTTCAATGCTCGAATAATATGACCAGAAGAAAGTCGACGTAATGGTTCAGCAATGCCAATTGGACGAACAAATGATGCTTGTTCTGATGCATTTAGTGAACGAGACTGTCGAGATTGATTAGATTCTACTGTTGTTCCTGATAATGAATAAGAATTTGAATCTGTTGAAGCTAATATATCATCTGTACTCAATTCATGAAAACCTAATTTAAAATAAATTTATTATTAATAATTTATTTCTTTTTTTTTCGTAACATACCCATCTGTCGAAGAAATTCGACAAGATCTCGAAGTAATTTTTTTCCTATATTTTCAAGTGTTGTTTGTATTCTTAATTGTACAACTTTTACACATACTAAAACAATTGCTAAACCAAATAATAAATAAATAGATAAGATGAACATTGATTTTATTTTATATTCTTGATTAATTGTTGTACTTCGATAATAACTTCGTAAATTAATTGTATATACAGCTGTAAAACATATATAAATACTATCAAAAAATGAATTCGATGAAATAAGACAAGCACCAATAAGTATATAAATGAAAAGTGTTATTACAATTTGTGGCATTGTTAAATCAATATCATCATTTATATCTTTTAATGTATCAATAAGTATAGTATACATAGTTCGGATATGTTTTATCTGAAGATGATGTGATAAACGTCTTTGTTTTAATGGTATATGATTCATATCTTGATTATATTCATTAAAATGATTATCAAAAGAATTTGTTAATGATTGATTAGGTTTCGGTGAATATAAAGCATCTTCATCAGGTTGAATAGGTATTGAAATATTCAATTGTCTTTCAATAAAACGAAATAACATCCATTGACGTATATGAAGAAAATAATTCGTTGAATATGCACGTAACAATAATAATGATAAATATTTTATTAAACGTGTTATTAATAGACTTAAATCCGATAGAAATACTAATGTTAATGGAATACCAATAGCAGCATAAATCATTAAAAATAACTTTCCCATTTTTGTTATTGGCGTAAAATCATTCGAACCTTTTTAATATTAAAAGAAAACACATAGGAAAATATCGTGTATTTTATTTGATTATATTTACCGATAGTCGTTAATGTTGTTCCGATAAAATATAATGAACCGGCAAAAGTCCAACGGAGATTTTCTTCATATAATGGAGGCTTCTCAGTAATAATTGATGGTGCTGTTACAGTTGTTGGTTTATATGTTTTTTTAATTTCTTCCTCATATTCTCGAACATGTTTATTAATAAATTTAGTATATTGTTGTATATCAATTGTTTGTCTCTTATCGATGATTTTCGATAAGAGACGTTCTCGTTCTCGATCAAAATTTTTTATTGAAACAATTGGAATTGACGTTGTTTCTAATGTTGATGAAGAAGTTGATCGTGAGTCATCTGATTCAATTTCTTGAATAATACTAGCACCGACAAGTGTATAGATTAAAAAAATCAACCAGATAGATATATGAGGAATGAATAGAAGTGACCAGTATCTAATCAAAATAAAAATCAACAATACACAAATAAATATATAAATAATAGTTTTCATACTTAACAGATAGAACCCATTCACGAATATTGAACTTCTTCGACATTAGTAATGGTCGTCAAGGTACTGGAAAAAAATTCAGAAGAATGTATACAAAATATAGTTATATACAGAACGATCGATTTCTTTTTTTTTTCTTTTCTTTTATATACTTTCGCCTCTGCAAAAAAGAAGAAAAAAAAAACAAGGGTACGCGAGCAAGCAAGCGAGACCTGTAAGTAACAAGTTGTCACTGTAGTTTTCTCTTTATTAACCTGTATTCCTGTATATGTCTAAATATGACTGTATTGGCGTCATATAAAAAAAATTATCTATGAGTCAAAGAGAGTATCACGCCATATTAAAAATACTTATCAAGGTTCAGTTCTCTTTTCGTACTTTGTTTCATATAAAATACATAAACATGCAAGCATTTTATGAGTTTTTTTTTTCTTCGAATATTTAAAATAATCGGCTCAATAATAGAAGTTTATAAGAAAAGTTTTTTACAAATTATCAATGGAGAAAAAATAGAATATTTTCATATTTAATCGATCGAAGTGCTTATGAAATCAGTCAACATTGCATGTTGCATAAGTATTACTCTTTTTCTTCCTTCTGTTTTTTTTTATTTTGCTCTCCTTGGCAATTCTAACTAGATTTTCTTTTTTTTTTCTCTCTCTCACTTAACCTTGCCGTATGTTTTTATTATACTTGCACATTTAGTATTCCTCAAATCATAATACTTATAATCAGAATTCTCTTTTTTTTTAGATTTTTGTTTTTTTGTACTCAAAAAATGATAACGGATTACCTACGTTTTAACACAACAACTATATTATGTGTGATTGTACCTTTAATCTACATTATTTATTATCGAATATTTCGTTATTTTATTTTCGATCAACGAAAAAAAGTAACTAAGGGTAAAACTTCAAGAGGCAAATGTCCACCATTTTTTCCAAATGGTAAGTAATTTCATATTAATAACTTATTATCGATTACTTATATATGTTTTAATATGATCAAATATCACCTGTTTTATATAGAGGTTAATATAGAATGTAAAAATATATGTGGATAGAGTCTCTTTATATATATATGTGTGTGTGGCAATAAGAAAAGAATACAGAAAGAAAAGAGCGTTTTATGAGAAATATTGATAGATAAAGGATAATATGATTATGCAAAGGTTATCATAAAAGAAAATGAAACTTATGTTAAGAGGAGTCAAATTTCTTCTGTTATGTAAATAAAAGACAAGCTGTTTTTTTTATTGTTATCTTTTTTAAAGGATGGTATTGGATTATAAATTCATGTGATCTTAAACCAGGTGATGTTAAACCAATCTCATATTGTGGAAGAAATGTTGTTTTATTTCGAGGTAAAAATGGTAATCCCTATGTTCTTGATGCTTATTGTGCACATATGGGTGCACATTTAGGTGAGGGTGGTAAAGTACGTTATAATACATGTATTGAATGTCCATTTCATGGATGGACATTCGATGGTGAAACAGGTAATTGTATTTTACCAAGTGGCGAAAATAAAATAAATCGTGTTGCTGATAAATTCGAATATCATGACATTGAAAAATGTACACCAAAACCAGATTGTAGCGATAAAAATAATTTATATTTACACCAAATTGCCGAACATAAAGAAGTTAAGATTAAAAAATACACGGTTAGAGAAATAAATGGATCTGTTTTTGTATGGTATCATTCTGATGATAAACTACGAGAAAGTCCTACATATGAATTATTTGATCTTACAAATGAATTAAAAATATATAATATGGAAGGTAAAGAAAGAAAAAGTGAATTTTTAAACTTAACATCTATTTAAATTTTAATAGGACGTGGTGAATCAATTAATTATGTTAATTGCCATGTTCAAGAAATTCCTGAAAATGGAGCAGATTTTCGTCATTTTGATTTTTTACATCAATCGATTCTTGATATTATATTTCCATTTATTAAATTTGATTGGTCCATGACATCCGAACGAGCATCACATCCACAATTAAATGAAATAATGACTCATCCAAATCCTGAAGTAAATGCATATAAAATGCGTCTTTTAAAAACATTCATTAATGATTCCAATCGTGATTTAGTAAATGTAATATCATTAAATAGTTATATACAATTTTTTGGTAAACATAGACTTTTTGTTTTTAATGCAACTGGTTTTCAATTAGGACCATCAATTGTTTATTTATTTTTATGGTCACCATATTTTCAAGCAACATTTTTTCAAACAGTAACACCATTAGAAAAATTTAATCAACGTATTATGCATCGTATATTTTCAACCAAACCACTTCCATATTGGTTAACAGCATTAATGCTTTTAGGTGAAGTTAAACAAATATTTTCTGATATGAACATATGGAATAATAAAATATTTGGTTCACAATTAAATTATAATATGAAAAATGATGCTGATAAATCTCTTCATGCATGGAGAAATTGGTATGCACAATTTTATGAAGGATGTTATGAATATGAAAATAAGACACTTTTATGGTAAAACAAAAAAAGTTCAACTTTTATATCCTGTGATTAAGATTTATAGAAAAGATTTTTTATTTTATTATTGACTTTCATTCTTTTTTATCTGATATTAATAAGCACAAAAGAAGAGACAAGATTGCACTTGGTGATTTTTTTTCTTATCAATCACTTTATTAACAATACTATTGTCTGTGATATTTATTCTGATTCTCTTTTCATATCATTGCGATTATTATTATATTTTTTTTGCTTTCTGTTCCATTGATTTCATTTTTAAATATATAAATATATATATATTTATATCAATGATTCTTTCTGATATTTTGGTCATTGATATATGACTAACTAATATAAAAAATAAATAAAAACGACTAACTTACGGAAATTTAATGCCACATAAAAATCAATAATTGTCTAGGAAAAACATCTAGAAACAAAAAGATAATAATACAAAACTACTTGCAGAGAGAGAGAGAGAGAGAGCGAGGGAGAATGTGCATTTATATGCCTTATGGGAAGATGCACGCAAGGAGAAAAAACAATAAACGGTTATCTGCGTCTTCTCGCTCTTGGGTATATATGCATGTTCTATTTTGTTATTCTGTTATGCTAATTGATTCTTTTCTCTCTTGAGAAAACCAATATTCCTATAGTTCTATTTTCTTTTTCATGTCATTTTAATGAGAAAAACTAATGTATATGTATCTTATATCAAAACTCAATGATTCTTTTTTGAAAAGTATACATTCGATAATAACTAAAGTAGGAATATGACATATATACATATACATATAAATGTAGACTTTAACAGTTATCTGTCAACAATATAATGTTCTTTTCTCGACAAAATATGGTTCTTTTCATTCTCGGGTAATCTATAATGCTGTAACTAACAACAAAAACAAAACAAAAAATAACAACCACGATAATTCGTTATATTTGTCATTTTTAGAAAATCAGTAAAAGGCCAATAGGAAAATATTTCTTCTGCATCGTTGATATCTGTATTCATCATATATAAAAAAAACTACTACTACTTAAATAAATTACTCGAAGATTTCTCAAATGATAATGAACAATAATATTTTTCATATGAGAATGTGTTTATAGATAGATAATTAGAAAAATATTTTTTTATTATTCATCATTAGTAATGACAATTCTTTAACTTTAATTAATAAATATTTATGACATAAACAAAAAAGAAACCATAATTTAAATAAATGTTTAATATGTGCAACAGATAACAAAACTAATAAAACTAAAGAGTAATATGAGACTATTTTTCTGGCTTATAACAGCCATAAACAAAAGAGACTAGTGATGTCATTAATCGTGTGTCACTAATAGGAATGGCTAAGAAAGAATTATGTCTCATCTTTTCTTTTTTTTTTGGTCTTTCGCATATAAATATCATCCATCCACATCACAAATGTCTGTTTGAATAAGACCAGAAGAAGAATAATTATAAAACGAATGTTATATATACATATGTGTCATTATATGAGAAGTAGAACTTAAGATTATATATTGATATGCTCATCTATCTGATTTGCAAACAGGTTATTTTTAAATATAACATGATCCATATTTATGTACGGGTTCATCATCATAAGATATAAATTCGCGTGACAATAAAAACTATATTATAAAACATGCACACTCATCATAATAATTATTATTTGCTAGTAATAGTACTATCAATAGATATAGTTAACTCAAATGTTTCATATAGCGAAAGAAATAACATTTATCAATAGATATATAATTAATTTTTGAACTTTTCTTACGTCTAAATACAATAGAATAATATTTATCATACTATAATTAAAGACTCTGCAAAAAAAAAAGATCTTTACCTTCATATTATATTGACAATGAATAATATTAGTTTGTTTATGGGCTAGAAAAACAAAGCACTCGATATATCCTTGTAAAATGCATGCAACAGCATGTTTGCATTTTCTTTGCTTCATTAAACTCTAGACAGATAAATACTAGACTATCGTATGTAATGAAAACTTTATTCTACTTATGATGTAAATGAGTACTCTAGAGAAATTCTTTCTACTATAATACAAGTGTAATGATATCTATGAAAGTTTTATCTTTCATTCAAGGCAAAGTCTCTATCAATTAATGAACATCTAGAGATGTCATAGATTATTTTATATACAATATAATTATAAATACAATATTATTCATTTTGTATAATATTAATTACGAATAGTATAGAATCTAATCAATAAAATGATTATGATGATAATTAGAATACATATATTTCATTAATTTTAAATAAAGAAATTATTGAAATATGTATTTCTTAAGATAATCTGAATGATGTCTAAAGTATAGATAACTTTTAATATAAACATGATTGAAACCTAATACAATTCTTATCTTTCTAGAGTATTACGCGACATAAAACCTAATGAACTTATTAATCTAAAACTAATGAATTAAGATTCAGAAACTATAAAAATAATGCTATGAAGAACTTAAAATAGTTTTCTTTTAATGGAAACAGACGAGAGGACTAAACGACATGTTTATATTTAATGAAACTCTTATATTTAATATGCATTTTTGAGCATCGCTTTCCAGTTCTATGAATTCATTATCTAAAGAAATAATGAGAATGACGACTAATTTTTGTATGATTCAAATGTTTATATACTAAGAAAATCTAGGAAGATTAATAGAACTAGTCATTACCATAATGTATTTTTTTCAGTCAATGTAACACTAAGTCTTGCACTTCTATCCATGATATCTACATCATATCGTCAACCATCTGACAGCTGTCCTTGTTGAGACACTATGATTATTGCAAAGAAAAAAAAGAAATAAGAATTCTGCAAGAAAAAATGAGTTTTTCAGTATGATTCTACATATCATTTCTATGTCTTCTTTAGATGAAAAACATTGGTTTCTTTTGTATTTGTATCAAAAATTATTTAAAATTCAATTGTTGATTATATTGAAACTTAAAAAACAAAGATATTTTAGTATGTTTAATCTAGACTGATATATGACTAGAATTTGTGTATTTTGATAAGATGTTTGAATACTAAATCGATTTTTTCACATTATTTTTTACATGAAGTGATATATAAGATGGCTTTTGTAGAATTGTCACAAATAATAATGAATAGTCGTCATACGACTATTGAAATAATGATATATGTCTATCAATCCATCTGTAGTATATACCGTTCTTAACCATCATTTAGGATATTATCAATATATGAGTAATTGTGTGTTTGTTTACAACTAAAAATAGATTTCTCATAAATTACGCAGAAAACATATCTGAATAATATATAATAAAAAGAACAATATTTCTATTTTTCAAAATATCAAATGAATGTATCAGAAATATTCTTGAAAAAATGATATTTTGATCTATAGTTATCGTTTAACATCAAAGTTAAAGAGAAATATATTTTTTTAGTATAGTTTATTTTTATGTTTGAAAATGATACTCAACTACACATATTTTATCATCATTATTAAATAATAATCAGTTTAACTAAAAAACGATGACTATAGTATTATTGTTCGAAGAAAATAAAATTATAAGTCATGATTTTGTCAATATGTGCGTTAACGACACTATTTTTTCTTGTTTATTTGTTTAGGCATGTTGACATTCTTTGTTTTTAAAGGAAAAATTTTGTCAAGTATGGCTGGTCAACTACGGTCATATATATAATAAGATAAAAAGGGCATAGTGATAGGATGCGGCTATACCAATTATAGACGCAGATAACAAAGGAATGAGCGCAAAAACTATTCATCCATGAAACTAATCATGAATACTTATAAATGCACGTTTAAAAAGGTAATAGTCAAGGTAATTTTGTAAATCAGTGATCCCAACACTATATAAAAACGTATAAGAAACGATTGTGATCTAATGTCATTTAATTTGATTTTGATATTTGTTAGGTTATTCGCCTGATTTCATATTGTCTATACCATCAAATCGACAGGAACAAGTTTGTTATCAATATATCAATAGAATTATCGAGTTTGGTAAAACTTCATATATAATAAGGTAAATAATTATATTTATAAACTAATATTCTTCAACTGTATTTTATTTCATACATTCGTAATTTTAATTAATGATTTTTATACTGCTAGAAAAACAAAAAATACCTTCGTCAGCGTTACATATACTCTTATATAGCAAATTTAGAAAATGTAGCAGATTATTTCAAGGTCATAGAGTTGAAATTTTTTTTTTGAATAACAGTCAATTAGTATTATGAAAAAGTTGCAGTTTTGATTATTTGATGTTTCACTGTTTTTTTTCTGATGATATTTTTTTGATTAAAAAGTAAAACTTTTAGTCTATTCAAATACTTTTATTATTGATAAATAGATTATAGATAAGTTAATTATTATAAAACATTCAAATCACTCTTGCTTAAAAAAAACGCATTAAACTGAATGTTGTTTTATTTGTAAATCTCATCTGAAATATAAATCGATCTAGCTTACGCCTATTGATAGGTAAAAAGAACGAAAACAAAAATAAGCATATAGGTGAGACTGTAAGGATGAGAGGTTTTACGTCGTATTTTTATTTTCGAATAAAGTACGAAGAATAGATTTCTCAGTTAGTGTAGTTAATTTCACAGTTTTATAAAAATTATATAATCAAAAGGAATTCTAAGATTCTATGAAATACTGTATAAACTTTCATAATAATAAGATTTTCTTATTTGTGATTTAAGATGTTTTAGATCATCCTAGAAGTTTCTTCTCTAATTTTTATTGATACTACTATTCTAATAATAGAACAAAAATTAGATGAAAATGTAAATGATTGTATAGTGTTAAATAATTTGTTAAATTGTTTGTAAATGAGAACTATTAATTATATATGATCGTTACGTATATAACATCGGCATAACTAGTAAAACTAATCGTATCTAACTAGAAATAGAAAATTATAATAAATTAATGAAAAAGCATATATTTTTGTCTGCATCCTATGCACTGTATAATATTTTGTCTCCCATCTAATTTTAGCATTATTTCGCGTATTGTGTGATATTTTGTCTTTATTTTTCCTTTCTTTCTTTCTTTCGTTCTCGCTGATGAGCGGATAAATAAGTGTATGCTTTGTATAAAAATGATGTGATGCTTGACAAGGATAAATATTATAAAATGCAATACTATTAACACAAACACTTTTTTTTATCAGAAATCGCCATAAAAATATCGATAAATTATAAAAGCATTGCAGTGATTCGATCTCTTAAGAACGCAAATATGTCAGAGAACTTTCATCCATTATGGTTGAAACCTTTAGAATATTCCAAAAGGTTTTAAGTTAATTTTTCATCTACACATTCGTTTCTTGTCATTCAAGAGATACCTATGATTAGATAGAAAGTTTCGCGCTTCATAGATTTTGTGACTCACTTTTGTTGACTCACAACTTTAGGGGTTTATTTACTGACTAAACTTTCTAAATAATTCTATATTTTCAATACTATAAAGTGCAAAATCTGGCGAATTTTATTCACAAGAAAAGAGGATTGAGAAATTTCAATTCATTTTATTGATATAAGTTTTATGTAAATGAAATATAAATAATATTATTTTTTATTTTTGAATTCTTAGAAAAAAAAATGTCAGCAATTCCAGTATATGTTCCGACTTTGCAAGCTGATAAAAATGATATTCAAGAATTTGTCCGTTTTATTTATAAACATCAACAACTTCTAAAAGAATATGGCGCAATTAAAATCCAGCTAAACATCGATTGTAATTTAGCTTTGAAGAAACGACGAACGAATCTATTGACACCTCCAGTTTCTACATATATTACAAAAATAAATAAGGATTATCCTATCTATTCCGTAGAAAGAAATGATAACAATGTTGAATCAATTGAACAAAATTCTTTAGTACATGATGAAGCTGATTTTTGGACATCATTATCTCGTCTAAACAACAAACAACGTCAATTGAATACTTCATTAATGCCAAATACGAGTTTGTTTCTTGAAAAACAATCTCATACACGATTTGATATTCATCGTGTACCAGGTCAATCACTTCTCAAATTAGCTGGAAGAGGTGTAGTACAAAAATATACTCCATGTTTGAAAAGAGCTCATGGACCTGGTGCAATTTTTCCATTAACATGTACTCAACAGCATCTCTTTTCACTTGACTACCATCATGAAGGTGGTGCTCATTTTTGGTACATCATTCCTCATAGTGAACGAAGAGCTCTACAAACATTACTAGATAAACAAAATATATCTGCTTGTCTAGATCATGGAAAAATATTTATTGATCCTTCAATATTAGAAAAATATTATATTCGTTATCATCGAATTACTCAAAGTCCAAATGAATTCGTAGTACTATCAGCTGGGACTTTATCACAATGCTTTACAATGCATGCTAGTTATAGTGAATCCATTGCCTTTGCTTTACCAAGCTGGATCGAAGAAGGTCATGCAAGTATTTCTACTGCATCATGTCGATGTGATATTCCTCATGATTCTTTATCAATAACATGTGATCTTAATTTATTTCTTCGTGATCTCATAGAAGAATATATTACTTCGAATCTTGATAATGTTATTAATGATGCCTTTGATATAGTCACAAGTCTGACATCATATTTATAATAGTCTTTTATATTATTCTGTATGTTTTTAGATTATGATACACCTATGACTGCAATGTCAACACCATGCAATCTTGACCACAATTCATTACATGGTATCTAATTTTTTTAAATGCTTTTATTTAACTAACTACATAGTGTTATGTTGTGATATCTTCTTCTAACAAATCCAGGTGTTACTTATTCTTTCTTGCCTTAATGAACATCTTTCTATAACTTTTACCTGGATGTATCTCTTGCTCTAACTAGATAGTTATTTTCCATATATATATATATAGCCCGCATTTTTATGTAGCATATTATATGATCTTCTACTTTATTATTTACCATCGTCTTGTGTGATTTATTAATAAACTTATTTAATCCTCGAAAACATATTCTACTTAACAATAGATTCCTTTAGCTTTCCTTTTTATAGTTATATGACAAAATTATTCAGAACAATAATAGTTATTATTAATAGATGCTTGCTAGCACAGATAACGGAAAACTTTTAGAAACAATCTCTGGCGGGTTAGAGGCAGAATTATTTTATTTTCTCTGTCGTTCAGATAATCAATCGAGAAAAAGATTTTTACATGAGAAAATAATTTTTCCTCACAAATATATGTTACTTTTTATTCATACAATATACATATTGATAATGATTCATTATAAAAAGTTATTCTTCTCCTTTTTGAACAGATATATTTAACGTTTATTATATAAGAGATCGCGCAAAACTTTGCTTTTCATTTAATGAGTACGGCATTGCTTAATATCTTTTTTTCTTCGCTTCGTGTTATATGTTATAGTACATAATCATTGTACTATCGGTAGCTTATTATTGAAGTTTGACTGCATTTATTCACAATTGAATTTAAATGATAGAAATACGATCACATATATATATATGAAGTTTTGTACTTCCTCTTAAACAAAGAAGTGAATTTTATGTATATAGACGCTTTGAAATGTTGACATAGATGAAAATGATTTTTGATTGTTTTTTTTCTCATTATTTAGATGAACCTATGATATCAAGAAATATGAAAGTCACCGTACCACCACAACGGAGTCTACCGTCTTACCATTTATTATCATCTTCATTAATAGCATCACCTGACAGCAACTACTCTTTTGAAGATAGTACAAATATAGCCGATGATAATAATGATCAACTTCGACTTGAATTATTTCAGTAAGTAATATTCATCAAAATAATTTAGCTTACAAAAATTCGACTATAATAAATAGTAAATTTTTATTTATATCAACAGATGTCTTTTCTTCTAATAGTTTTATTCTTAAAATGTCCTATTTCATATTATAATTAGAAATATGAATATTAATGACATCATTTTCTTAAATTGTTATATTTGTTGAGTATTGAAATTCCAGTAGAAAACTAAGAAAAAAAGTTTTAATTAGTAATATTATAGCTAGAACTAATTTAAATAAATTTTACAAAGTGTTGTATATATATATATATATCAAATAAAATCAAATAGACAATTCTTTTATATAAATGTATCTCATTCGATAAACATTTTGTTTATACCGTCAAAAGTATTTCAATTCTATAATTTCTTGTATTTTAGGGAAGATAGTCTTTTGAATACATGTGATCTATTCGCATCTGATCTACTACTCACGGATTCATATTCAAATAATCGTCTACCTGAAATAAATACAGTAACAAATACACTTGATCAAAATTCTGATGTACCTACAAATATTCATGAAAACCTTACGATAGACTCGTACGGAAACAACTATGATTTTTCATGGGAAGAACTAATGAATTTACTACCATTAGATGTGGATTCTGTTGAAACAACATTTAATCAAACTGACGAATGTAACAATAGGGTAAATCGCAATCATTTACAATTAATTTACTGTCTTAAAATAGATTATATTTTATTGTAATGTTTGAAACAGAAATACAGCTTCTCATACGACGTCGTAATGCAACGCCAAAATTTGCGATTAAGCAGGGCTCTTATAGGCGCTATATTTAGATAGTAAACGATCGTTATATATGAAGAGATGAAACTAGCTGTACTATAATAATTCTCTTCAGATTCACTTCCATCACATATATATTATTCATTCAAAATGAACTCTACTTCTATTTAGAATATACAATCATCATCATTCAATACATGCAAGACAAATGTTACTAAACAAAGCTGCAATAAAAGACAACAACTACATGAAAAACTGTTAGATGCTCGTAAAGTACTCTATGTCTCAGGATTAAGACGCGACGTGACTAAACACGATATATACACTCACTTCATTGGCTGTTCGAAAGTGACATTAAAAGAATATCACTCTGTATCACATCTTAAGTATGTCATATTAATAGTTTTTTGTTGAAAAATACAATGGAAATCTTTTTATTAGATATGCGTTTGTTGTTCACAAGAAGCCTAAACATGCCGAAATCAATCTTCATCGACCTATTAATTACAAGCATCTTGGTCCTCAATGTCGTGTTGAGTATGCTCATGACTGTTCCACTCGTATCGGTAGCAATCAAACTTTCGACAACAAGAAAATCTTAGTTCGTGGTATACCACAACATGTTAATGTGGGAGATTTGCGTCGTTTGTTTGGTAATTGTTATATCATAAAATATTGTCCAGCCATTGTTTGCCGACGAAGAATGGAAACAACAACGAAAAGCAATGACAAGGTTTTACTAGGGTGAGACAGTTAATTGTATAACTTCAATTTACTCAACATAGTTTACTAGAAAATGTTCAATCGCGATCTTCAGACATTTTTGTGATTTATCAGAGTTCTAAAAAACTAGTTAGTTTAATAGGTTTTCTAAATTTGTTTAATATTTCTACATGTAAATATTTTAAACTAAGATCGCTTAAAGATTAAATTAGCTAATATCTTATTTATTTATTTCTAGGTACGCTTATATTCAATTGGATGATGAACGACAAACAAATTATATTATTGAAAATGCTAATCAATATCAGATGTGTGGTCAATCGTTAAAAATTTGTTCATATCGTAATTAAACTGCGCTATATACACTGAAAAACGTATCATGAGTTATATTAAATTGTTGTATATTTATTTATAAGATTGTGCTAGTTTTATATTTGTGTACATAAACAAAAGAGAAAATTCAAGATACGTTAAGTGATGTATTTTTTTTATTGAAAAAATAAACGGCTTATATAGCAGGAGTTAATACAAGACGTATTCGATTTTGAATGTTGTCAATGAAACCATGGTTATGTGAATCTACACGTTGACATATATGTAATGCTTTTTTGTAAGCTTTCAATGCATAATTAGAAGAACCTTGTCGACGATGTATATCACCCATAATAAAATATAATTGAGCTATTGATACATTTCCTTTCGGCTTATGTTTGAGTTGATTGTCAAGTGATGTTTGACAATGGAATAATGCTTGATTAAAATTTTGTTTTTTTAAATAAATATTTGCAATAATTCGATGAATTTCAGCGAATGAATAAATTTTGTTTCGTGTATTAAGTAAATTTTGAAAATAAGCTAAACTTTGATCTAAATAATAGTTATCAATTTGAGAATCTCGTCTTGATAAATTTTCTTTTTTCTTTGATAATTCATTAAGAGAATAATCAAATTTCAAATAAACTTTTCCAATCAATTCATAAGTATCATCTATTGCTGAACGTTCTGTAGTTTGAGATTGTAATTGATATTGAATTAATTTATAGAAATAAATTAATGATTCTTCCCAATTTTCGATTTGAAAATAAATCGTTGCAATTGCTTTATAAAGATTTCCTAATGAGAAATCTTCCGATTGATTCTTTAATAATTGAAGAAAATATTTTAATGAATGATGAAAATATTGTTTTTCATAATAAATATTTGCTAAAATATAATAAATATTATTTAAATTTGCTGATTTTTCTGGATATTTTAATAATTGTTTATTGACAATATCTTGAAAATAATTTGATGAATGATCTAAATGACGTTTTTCAAAATGAATATTATCGATATGTTCGAATTGATTTTCAGAAAGATTTCGTCTATGATTATTAAAATATGACAATGACTGATTGAAATGATGTTTTTTCAGATAAACTTTCTCAATTAATTTATATGTATTATCAATATTAATTTGATTTAATGGAGATTTTCTTAAATAACAATCAAGTAAACGATTATAATAAAGTAATGACTGATCTAAATAACGTTTTTTATAATAAATCTTGGCAATTATTTTATAAAGATCAATTAATGAGTAATCTTCCAAGAATTTTGTTTCTAATTGATTTTGAAGAGATTGAAGATAATAATCTAATGCCTTATCTAAAATTTTCTCATCTATTATCTCATTATGTTGATCTAAATGAATATCGGCAAGAGTTTCAAATCCTTTACTTAATGATAGATCACCAACTTTCTTTGTTTCTAGTTGACCATCAAGAGATTTATGAAAATAAATTGATGCTTGTTTAAAATCCTTTTTCTTTAAATAAACATTTCCAATAATATCATAAGTTTCAACCACTGATGGGTTACTTAATGATAATGTTTTCAATTGAATTTCTAATTTTTTTTTATAAAAATGTAAAGCTTTGTCTAAACTAGCTTGTTTTAAATATAAATCTCCAAAATTTTGATAAGTTTCTGCTAAATCAGGATGATTACTTGGTAATGTTTCTAATTGTAATTGATGAGCTTTTTCAATAAATTCTAATGCTTTATGTTGATTTCCATGATCTGAATGCATTAAACCAAGTGCCGTGTAAGTATAGCCAATATCTGGATGAGTTGGAGAAAGATCTTTGGCTTGTAATTGATTTGCTTTATCAAACATTTCTGATGCTTTTTCTTGTTTATTCATTGCTGTATAAACTTTTCCCATTTCAATAAATGTTCCTGCTTGTAATGCTTCTGATAAATTCGATGAATTATCCAGAGCTTTCTGTAAATATTCCAATGAAATTTGATAATTTTTCTTTAAAAAATGAGCATTTGCTAAACCAGAATAAGTTATTGCTAAACTTTCATTACTTGTATTTAAAGCTTTTTCGAAAGATTCAAATGCTTTATCCGAATTCTTTAAATGTGAAGAATAGATTAATCCTAGTTGATTATAACACTGAGAAAAAAGTGGATGATCATTTGCTGCTGAACTCTTCGATAAATAATTCAAAGCAATATCGAAATTTTCTACAGCTAATTGATGATTTCCTTTTTTTTCATAAACTTTAGCAAGTCCATGATGAGCATACGCATAATCAATTGGATCATTGATCTGTTGATTTTTTAAAATATTTTCGAAATGTTTTTGAGCATCATCAAATTTTTGCATATCAACAAGAGAATTGCCAATAGAAATAAGATGATTTTGTCCTTTTAATTCTTTTGTTATATTTTCTGTAAATTTTTTCATATCGGAATCATTTTCTGAACATAAAATAAATTTAGCCATCCAAAGCTTTGTTTCTTCATCATAATTAACTTTATCAATTCGAAAAACACAAGCAATCATAAAAAGAATTTCTTCTTCTTCTTTAAAAGCACTTAAATTTTTTATATCGGCATAAGGTTTTGAAAGAGCTCTTAAATCAACATCAATTTCTAATAAAACTGTTGTTAATTCATCATTTGGTGGTGGTTTACTTAAAGCAAATTCTAATGCTTTATTTCGATTTGTACTTGTTGATAAAAATGAATTAGTTGAAATTAATTGTCCTTGCCCAGATTTGAGACGATTCATTTCATCTTTACTAATAAATTGTCCACGATAAACTTGAATTGTTGGTGATTGTTGTTGTTTAGTAAATTCTTTATGTTCTTGAGATAATTGCATGTTTAAATCTTTAATAAATGGTCCAAAAGGAACAATTTCTTCTGTATTTTGTGTTCTTAAAGCTTTATTTAAAATTTTATAAATACAAGATTCTCTTGTGTACCAATAAATAGCTTTTGTTGGGTGATATGTCTGATCAAATTCTGTCATTATTTCTTTATCGGATTTTTCATCTGGTTGAAAATATTTTAAAAGAGATTGTTCATTTGATTTTAATTGTTGTTGTCCACTTAAAATTCGTTCAAGTAATATTTGGTAGAGAATAAATTCACCATTTAATGATTTATGCATACTTTTATTATCATCAGCTGAATAAACATTTGTACCCATTCGATCTTCATGTGTATTTCGAACATTCTTTTCTTCAGTATTGGAGGACATTGTTCAATTTTTTAGTCAAATTTCAATGATCAAGTTAAAAAATTTCTAAAATCCAAACACAATATACTAGGTTTTTGTTTTTTT